TTTACTTTGAAATAAATGATTTTTGGTTTCTTTATATTTACTCCAACCCTATATTTTTCCGTAATAATTTAATTTTAGTTCTCTTATTTTAAGGGGTTAGTTAATATTACCATAAGGTCATCTGCAAAAAGATTAAATTTAATCTCTTCCTCCTGACCAAATTTACATCTTTTTATCCTTGCACTATTTCTTATTCTATTTGCTATATACCTATTATAAAAAGAGATGGTGAGAGGGGACAACCTTATCTTACTCCTCTTTGAATTGGAAATTCCCAGGAAAAGGTCTTGCCCTGCTTGCGGAAGTCCAGCAGGGATGGGTCACCTTGGTCTCTTTTCATGTTATGATGTGTGAAAGTTATGAGATCTGCCTATTGAAATAAAGTTTCTTTGTATTCAAAATCTGTGATAAGATTCCTTCTGTGAGATGTGCAACAGCAAGCCTAGATGCCAACTCTGTCCCCACATCTATTCTGGAAGCAATATTAGAGGGGCCAATAACATCATCAACAGCATCAGAGGTGTATTCATTGGATCTTCATTAAATGTGATATATGCCATACTATGGCAGAATGCCCCTCAACGTTGAACAAGCATGATAGCCTCTATGCAAGAAGATAAATGGACACAAATCTGACATTAGAAATGACAATACCCCCAAACTAGTTGTGAAACATATAACAATGGATTTACAAGTGGCAGTCACTGAACAAGGAACTTAAAAGGAAGACTGGAAAGAAACGGATGAATTGAATTAAATCCACACATTGTAATCTATTATCTGAGAAATTAACAAAGATAATGACTTCATGGCACATTACCTGTATTAATACAAGAGTCTATGCCACTGCACATCTGCCAAAAGGAATATTTTCAGACAAGGTTTTGAACTCAGGAAAATTGATTTTTGCTGAACAGGTCTACTGTTTTCAGACATTGGCACTGATACCTGTAAGGATCTGCATAACCTATATCAATTTATACAGACCTTTGAAAATTTAAAGCTACAGGTCATGATTTGCAGCTTTCCGGATCCTATAACATTCCATCTCTCTCCTACAGCTGTGTAAATATGCATTGAGGCTTGGGTATCACTCTGTACTGCATCTGAAAAAAAGCAGTTGCCCAAAAGTACATGCAAAAATAAAACCTGTTAGTCTTAAAAGTGCTGCTACATTCACCCCCACCCCCTTTCCTCCCTTTCCCGGTCAGTCTTACTGGTTCAAAGGAGACAGAAGTCTGTCAGCCATACTTAGTAATTTGTGTTAGAAGGCACTCTTGTGATATTAATTATGCTGTGCAAAGTTGTCCTGAAAAAGTATTATCAGTAATTATGTAGTTCTTGCAATAAAAGGGTAATGCTTATATGGATACATGGCTTACTGGGGAGGCTATTTTTTAGGCCAGATGGCTCTTAGTGATCCTGCCAAAAGGGGAAGCCAATGGTACTAATTAATTAAATTTCTATCCCATTGTGCCAATTAAAACAGAAAACACAATTATGTAATAAAACCTCTTATTATTTATAATTAGGTGCCATCCTCATCTACTTTTTTAGATTGTAGTAGCCTATACCTCAAAGACCTAGGAAAAAGAGAAATATCTGACTGTCTTTCTATCAACAAAATTGAGATAATCAATAGTTTACAGACAAAAGTCCCTCCCCCACCCCCAAGAACAAAGTTATTATGCTGAATTCAAACCTCGTTCCTTGGAATAACTTAATCTCCAACAAACCAATTATGCAAATAGCATATCATACGTGCTTTGTCAGGAATGGAAAAGCTATGACTGTTTTGGAGCCAAACATGCATATGCAAACACAATTTAGTCACGGAAGTATTAATTAGGAGTTAATAGAGAAATGCAGAAGAAACTGTATTTTGTTTCTGAGAGCTACTGAGAATCTAATATGGTTTTTAATGCTTCAAATGCTAGTATTCTAGATCTTACTGGTTCAAAGAAACATCTCTGATAAAGACAATGAAGCCATTACGAAAGGCATAGATATCTCTCCTATCTTTTTTGTTTTAGGTATAAGGCAGTCCAGTTGTGCACTATGAACATGTTGTGCAAAGACTTGAGATCTAAATGATGAGGCAGAACTTAAAGAACATTATGAAGCAGATAATTTGTGCTGACATAGCTTGACAGTTAGTTGAGACAACAGTAATAACAGCGGAAACAGATACGCAAGAAGACCAGGACTCTAGCAGATAAGGGGTATCTCCCGGTGCAGTCCTTAAGCAACTTAAGTGAAGAAACCTACTGAAAGCAAACCCCACATTTAGGACCTCATCAAATGGATGTTTCCCCCCATTTCCTCCTCATTTTCACATGTTGGCAAAACGGAGTCCCATGGTAGTCACCTGTAAGAATCCATCTTGTCAGTATACTACAAGGGAGAGAGTGGGGGGAAGCAAGGGAAAGCAGGAAGAAGACGGGGAAAGATTGTAGGATGGCCCCTAAAGATTAATCTTGCCAGGAGACAATGGGGTAAAACGGTTTTCCCACTCTTCCCAACGCTTTCCTTTGCTTTCCTCCTGCACGTCTGATGAAGTCTTTAGTACACATATAGGAATATATACCTTAAATATCTCAGTGTCACCTTAGATTGAACAATAATATTTAGGAAACACTGTGTGAACACCAAGCACAAAGTAGCTGCACACAATAACATCCTGCGGAACCTTACTAATAGCCCATGGGGTGCAGATCCAAAATTAATAAGAACATTAGCCCTGGCCTTGCTTTACTAAACTGCTGAGTATGCCTGCCCCGTCTGGCATAAATCTGCCCATGTGACACAGGTGAATATAGCACTGAATGAGACATGTAGAATAATCACAGGATGTCTTAAACCTAGAGTCTTGATAGACTCTATACGATAGCTGGCATTGCCCCCCTGCCCCCGATGTGCAATGGGAAATTGCTGCCAATTGTGAGAGAAATAAGGTTGAACACTGTGAAAGCCACTCACTGTATGACTATCAACCTCCTCCCAGTAGACTTAAATCAAGGAAAAGTTTCATGAGAACCACCACTCCTCTAAATGTTCCTCCAGTAACAGCAAGAATATCCTTGTGGGTAGCAAAATCAGACCATTTCAATTGGATGGTTCCCTCATGAGGGTCTTCCTCCAAGGGCAAAGAAAGAATGGGCAATTTGGAAGTCCCTGAACAGACTCATAAGTGGAGTTGGCAGATCAAAAGACAACCTGGCAAAATGGCACTACCTAAAATAATTCTCTATTTTGTGCGACTGTGGAGCAGAACAAATAGCTCAGCATCTGTATGCTTGCCCACAATGCCCTGCCTCATGCACAGGGGAAGAATTGCTTAAAACCACAAACAATGAGGTCGCTGTTGCCCTATTTAGCTGCTTGTGATTCCCTTATTTTATCAATTTTAATCTTATTTATTTATGCAATGCTTTTGACACGAAATAAATGTATAGGAAGAGTTCTTGAGAGAAAAACTATAACACAGCCCAACAAATATATATATTGGTGTTTTGGTTTCTAGGCCTGTTCCTGGAGTTATTTGGGGCACTTATTCAGAAAATTGCATTGGATGAAGCACATTAGCTCTAATTTCTTAGATAAGGTTAACATGATTTCATATGGGTGAGCAGATGGTGACTGGTACTATATAACATATTTTCTGTATCCTAAATTTATAGCTAATAGGGGGAAACTGGTGCCATTTTTGAAATTAGCAGGTTAAATATACTGAGAAACAAGGATAACATTAAAAGCACCAAAATGTGTGATGACCAGTGTAATCTAAGTACAAACGTTTTGCCAGAGCTTTCAATAAAAGTTGGCATATCATTTCCTTTCATTTTAATATGGCTTTTTAATTTATTTACCACTCTTTTATCCTGCCCTTTTCAGCCTGAAGGTGACTCAGGGTGGTGTACAGACTGGCAATAATTAGATGCTGAACACACATAAATACATCATTTAAAACAGGTTAAATCACATAATAAAATTCATATAAAAACAATTTAAAACTATAAAAATAAATGACTTCCAGGTTTAAATCCATGTCCATTTGCATCGTTAAGATGTTCCATATTCATTCACAATACTGAGTTTATATGGTTACAATGAGGTTCCAAAAAGCTTGCTCAAAGAGCCAGGTGTTACTGTTTTCCTAAAGGTCAGGAGGGAGGGGGCCGATCTAATATCCCCAGGAAGGGAATTCCACAGCGGAGGGGCCACCACTGAGAAGGCCCTGTCCCTCGTCCCCACCAATCGCACTTGTGAGGCAGGCAGGATTGAGAGTAGGACCTCCTCAGATGATCTTAAATTCCTGGAAGGTTCATAAGGAGAGACACGTTCGGATAGGTAAGTTGGGCTTATCCTATATCTGTTAGCCATGGTGGACAATGTTTGGCCCTCAAGATATTGTTTGATGGCAGTTTCTTGTAGCCCTTGACAACAGAACCAATGGTGGGGAGTTCTGGGAGTTGCAGTCCATCAATCTCTGGAAGGCCACAGGTTACTCATCTCTCCTTTAAGCTAAACAAAATATGTGTTTCAATAATTTAAAAATTTACACTTAAAAAGACAGTTCATACTCATTGAAGGAGTTATTAGCTTGTTTGAACCTGTGACACAACCCATTTGTAATAATAACGGGGAGTAGTCAAGACCTTTTAAATCAGTTATTCATTTTGATCATTGTTAATACTTATATTTTGTAGGTTTTAAAATTATATATATATTAAGGCGCACTGCTTTGGGTCTCAGTCCTGGGAGAAAAGCAGGGCATGAATAAATATAACCAGCCTGCTTTATTCTTCATGTGACTGCAAATGGACTAGTGTATATCTTTAACCTCCTCCTTTAAAAATACATTCTGGGCTAGTTATGACATCACAGTGCTGTGTATGTTTGACCACATTCTGTTTCTAGGGCTCACTGCAGAACTTTCCGAGCCAAACTGTTTGTTTTCTGCTTCTTCCTGGCACTTGGCAGCATCTCCGCTATCTAGAATGCTTAGTGGTCAGTCATCTTCAATCTCTCTTTGTGCAGGAAATTCGTACCTGAGACCATCGCTCTCTGTATCTTCAGAGAAGATGGGGCGGCTCCCTTTGGGGGTTGTTTCTCCCTATGTAAAAACCAGCTCTGGTGGTAGTATGGACCCAATGAAATTCTATTGCACCAGCTATGGCACAGCTTATGGTAAGGTCCTTTATCATTATGGGAAGGGCTTCATTCTGTTGCTGATGGCATGCCCCTACCGTGGAGAAATGTCAGCCAGCTGAAGACAAAGTGGCTATTCAGAGAGCAGATGCAGCCCTCCAGACTCTCCTAGGGGTTAGAATTTTCTACAGCATCCCACCTCTGCATTAGATGAAGGAATGTCCACCTGCCTGACATTTTTCATTGGCTGCCTTTAGCCATTCGCTGTCTTCACTGCCTAAAAAGCATATCCAGACTGACTTAAAAGTCATAGATTTTTGTCCTGTTCTTTCTGATTTTACCGTGGGTTAAAATAAGCCAACCTGGAAAACTAGCATAAAAGTCTTTGTACTGGGAGTTGACAGAAAACATAGGAACAAACCTGGGACTTTCTAGTCTTTTTAGGGAGCATCCTGACTAAGTGAAACGTCCCAGATGTGAAAAGTCCCAGTATCTGCTCAGACCAGAGAAAATGAATTCAAAGTGCTCATAATGGTATTATTATCCAATCCTAAGATTATTAAATGTTGAAAATGTGTCAAAATAGGTGATTGGAATTATTTGTGAGCCCCTGGTGGTACAATGGGTTAAACCGCTGAGCTGTTGAACTTGCGAATGGTGTGAGCTCCTGCTGTCAGCCCCAGTTTCTGCCAACCTGGCAGTTGTGAGTAGATCAATAGCGGGAAGGTAACGGCACTCCATGCAGTCATGCCGGCCAATGACCTTGGAGGTGTCTATGGACAACACCAGCTCTTCGACTTAGAAATGGAGATGAGCACCAACCCCCCAGAGTCGGACACGACTGGACTTAATGTCAGGGGAAAACCTTTACCTTTACCTTAATGTATCCAAAAGTATGTAGATTTTTGGGAGGCTGTCATATGGATGGATAGGACAAATGTTTTGCCAAAAGGTCCATGTTTAAAGGAATACTGTTACTCATTTCTATATTTGAAAGTGAAAATTAATGCCTGCCAGATAAAACCCTATTACACTTATGTTTAATGCTGTTATACTAGAAACAGCTAAAGCATGACAAACATTAGAAAACTCAATAGAAAAGTGGTTAAATAGTATATGGTTCTTAACTCGTTCAAAAAGCATTAACATATAAATTAAGAGGGGACATAAAAGAAAATACATCTGAGATTATTTGGAAGTCCTTTGCTGCTTATATTACTTTATATTGGACATAGGGTCACTTTGGATCAATAACAACTTTTGAAAAGTAATCATTGAAAGTTATGATTAATATCTAAACAAAATGTAATTATTTGGAAGGCAATTTATATCATTGGTGTTTGACAGGGATACAGTTTATGACTCCATTATTTGGGAAGGGAGAGTGGAAATGAGGAATAAAGGGAGAAATCTATCTTAAATTATGATACTGATTTAGGGAGAGGGGCACACTGTATATATCATGATTATAATTGTTTTTATTACACAAAACAAAATAATTTTTTTTAAAATTCCATCAAAACGGTACTAAATTATGATGTAATGTATGAGTTACTATCCAGATTTCTTTGTCCCATTGCATTCTCCCTCTTTTGTTGTGTTAATTACACAGTAAATCATTATATAGGCATACTGCATTTAACAAAGCCTTGAACAAAGAAGCTCCTTTTTAGAAAGTCTTCTTTACACCTGCTGACTTTTCATGTAGGATTATAGCAGTGTTTCTGTTGTAAATAATGTAATACTGTAAAGACTTGAGTTGGGAAAGAATGGGATTCTATTGTTGTCAATGCTGCTAAAGCTGTGTGTTCCTGCCTAGAATAGTCAAGGCAGACAGCAGCAGTCTCAAAAATCACTTACTGCATTAATTAAGTCATATCTGAATTGTGAATACTTGAAACACATTGCCAGAAAGGTGGTGTATAAATATTGTGAGCACGTAAATAATTGGATGATACAAATCTGACTGACTCTTTTTTGTTCACTAGGTCGGGAAGGGTTTCGTCCTCGGACTGGTTTCCACTCTGGAGCTGGTTACAAAGCCAACTACCGTCCTGTTGTTCAATACAAACCAAGCCTGGACAAATTAGATAATCCAGCTGTGGGGTAGGTATCTTGCACTTTGGCTAAATTGGTTGGGATAGTTTGTAGCACAATAGCATTATGTCATGCATTTATTGTTCATGATATTTCACCTCTTTCTTCGAATCAGTGCTGTGTTACAAAAATAACACAGCACTGATTCTGAGGGAATCAGTGCTGAGGGAAAAATATTTTTTGTATTGAGTGTTTAAATGAGCTAGGCGTTTGCAGCTAGATCTCCTACCATAAAACTAGAAAACATTCCTTCTATTCTGAATGGGCAAGAAGCTACCACAAGAAGATAGTCAGAGGTGAGGAGCACCACTGGTGAACTTGTAATATTTTGGCTTTCCATTGATTTCTTTTTAAAGATGAACATAGTGATGCTCAAAAGTCCTGTGCGTATGTTCACAACTAGTATATGGGGAAGACAAAGGGATATGCTATGAAAATACCTTCAACTTTTAAAGCGTAGCTACAAAACCAACAGGAATAAACACTCTAACATACGCTTCAGAGCACTGTTTTTCTACTTAAACAGATTGTCCTCATTAAGAGGAATTTTTTTTTCATATTTCTCTCCCTTAAACCAGGGCTCTCCTTCAAGACAACTACGAATCAACAACTACCAAGCACTTCCAGCCTTTCCAGCTCCCAGATGGGAAGTATCCTCTGCCCTGGAATGTACACCAGTCGGGGAGCGGGTATGTCCGGGAAAAACCCCTTTCGTTCCCTACCACCAAAACCGTAAGTATCCAGAGTCAAGGCTCTAGCTTTGTGTTGTGGATTGCTCTGTTAACGTAACGTCATCAAATTCCCACCAATGATGGCTTAGGCTCTCCTACTTTGTGATTTAGGCCATGCTGGCCATGGAGTTTGGAAAGTTGTAACTTTTCCTCCAACTGCCTCACTCAATCTTCTGTCATCTCACTTTTTCAACAGTTTCAAATGTGTCCCACTTTCTTCCCCTCTCACTTTTCCTCCTTTACTATGGTCTACTTCAATTAGTCTAGGCTGAGTTTAAAGTACAGAAGTAATTTATACTCTTATGTCCATAGCGGGAAGAGGAGAGGAGGTAGGGGAATTTTCCCATGCCCAGAGAGGAGATTCCATCTGAACATGAGGAAGAACTTCCTGACTGTGAGAGCCGTTCAGCAGTGGAACTCTCTGCCCCGGAGTGTGGTGGAGGCTCCTTCTTTGGAAGCTTTTAAACAGAGGCTGGATGGCCATCTGTCAGGGGTGATTTGAATGCAATATTCCTGCTTCTTTGCAGGGGGTTGGACTGGATGACCCATGAGGTCTCTTCCAACTCTTTGATTTTATGATTCATAGAATCATAGAATCAAAGAGTTGGAAGAGACCTCATGGGCCATCCATGATTCTATGATTCTATGAGTAGGTTGAGGGGAGAACAAACTGCTGGAGCCTCTCCTAGCTTGTGTATTCTTCCTTGTTAATAGTGTTATTTATTTATTTACCACACTTTTACCTTCCCTTCTCTCCTCAGAGGAGACTCAGGGCGGCCTCACAAAGGCAACAATTCAATGCCGCATATAGGTTTTTGACATACAAAAAGAGAATAGTTATGAAATGTTATGTTTTCAAGCAAATTGAACATGACTTTGAGGGCCATGATGCAATGCACCTATTTTATGAATTTTAAACAAAGACTTTTATAGCAGCTGCTGTCTGATCAAGGATATTACTTTGTGAGCAAACTGTGTCAAATTACATAAATAACGGCACCAGACACAACATCAGCTTGAAAACTTCATTGTAATTTAATTCACCATGGAAATAAATAAGGGAGATATTTTTAAAAAGAAGAAATGCTACCAAAGTCAGAAAAAATTAACAGAAGTGGTATCATCTTTGAATCTTTGAGTCCCCCTAGGAGTGAGAAAGACGGTGTATAAATACGGTGTATAAATACGGTAAATAAATACGGTAAATAAATATACATACACATATCATCAACAACAATGACAACAACATTTTATTCTGCCCCAAAGACCCTTATTGCACTGTAGTCATACAAGGCATGCAGGTAATGAGATTAAGAATATCCAGTTGATTGAACACACAAATGGATAAAATTTACAACAGTAAAAACTGCTTAAAATACATGTTGGCTAAAAACATAGGTAAACAACTACAAGAAGTGTCAGCGTGTTTCAGCCTTAAGGTATGCAGGTAATAAGATTAAGAACAACCAGTTGATTGAAAAAACAAATGGATAAAATTTATAACAGTTAAAAAGTGCGTAAAATACATGTTGGCTAAAAACACAGGTAAAAGATTATATACATATCAATAAATAAACAAATGCAATTAAAATCCAACGCAATTAAAACATAACATTAAAACATCACACAATCCTGGTCATATTCCAGGTTGTCATTTTAACCACACATTGTTGTTTGGTCATTCATGCCCCAGTTGTCATCTGTGAAATGTTGGAAGGTATGATGTAGTCCAGAAGTAATGTTTTCAAATTCTGGTTTAACTTCTGTAGTAACATTATGTGATGGTAGGTAAGCAGGGTAGAATTCTGAAAAGATTCTTAGATGATCCAAGAAATATCAGATAATTGCTTCCAGAAATATTCCTAATGCTTTCTTTCCTCCTTCCGTGCCTCTCCTAATCCTGTTCTACCAAGCCACATTATTCTCAGGGTTGCCAGGCATCCTGGATTTTAAGGGACAGTCCCATATTTAAATAAAATTCTGCTTACCTCTCTGAAATGTGCTACTGCTGATATTTCATTCAGGCTGGGGAAGGGCAGTGGGATTGAGCCCTAGTATTTGCCAGACTCAACAACTCTATAATTATAAAATTGCTTGTATTAAAACCAAGCTGTGGTTTCCCTTTTCTATTGTGTCCTTTTAAAAAACAACAACAACACTATAATTATGTTTTTCTAAGCACTCAGTGCAACAGGAAAAGTTGAACCTTTATTCCATTCAAAATACATTTGCTGAAATTCATACTATTCCATTTGGAGTGTTTAGGAAAAAGAATAATTCACATGAGGTTTAAGAGCATGAGACCTTCTGGCCTTGCTGCCTTCTATGTGTTTTACTTAGAGAATAATAGGATCCCCCATATATCTTAAAAGAAGATGGATGTAAAATGTTCTCTAAGCATTTCTGTTCTGTTTTGACTGTTCTTTCCTATTCTGCTGTAGCGCGGATTTTACTGCTTCTATATGACTATTCATATTGATTGCCTAATTACAAGTTGGTTTGTTTTCACAGGTCAAGCAAGTCCATTTTGATACAGCGGACCAAGGATCAAGTTCTATACCAGGGCTGGAGCCCAGATATACTCCTGATCTTCACAAACTACAGGGAAAAGGCTCTATTGATGTGGAAAATGCCAGATACGTGAGTCTACATGGGGTCCATTGCCAGGGTTAGCCCTGCCACCAGAAAATGTTGAAGTGATAGCCTCAGCAGCTGACTTTGGATGAGGCAGCAAGTCATCAGATACTTCATTTATTACTTGGCATTTTTACCTTCAAGGAGGGGGGAATGTTCTGCTTTAAATGCCAAATTACTTGGTTGTCCTTGGGTATCATGTTCTGGTGAAAGAGTCAGTGAGAGGGATTGTTTGCAATTTGTTCCTTCCCCACCTCTACCTAGAGATTGAGCGGGTAGCTCATTAGGAATTGTGGAAGTTGTAGTCCAAAACACCTGGAGGGCCAAAGTTTGCTCATGCCTGCTATAATCCCTACCCAAATTAAATGTGTTGGTCCCAGCTTTCAGAGACCTCTAGAGTCATTTGTATGTGATTAATCAAAACATGTATATATGATTAATCAAAGCAAGAGAGTCTGTATTTATAAGATTATCATCTTAATGTAACATACCATAAAACAAAAGGAAGTCGGGAAGGAAGATGGGAAGGAAGAGAGTTGAAAGAGTTAAATTGCATTTTTTTTTTACATAGGCTGTGTCTCCTTTATCTAGAAATCCAATATACTCCAAAGCCCACAACTTTTTGCTCCTAGCTGCACACTTCCACCTGAGGGATAATCACATGTCTAGTTATCACCAAGTTTTTTCTCACTGTGAGAAATTTGACAGGCAAAGAGGGGGAGGGGGGGGGAAGGAGACTGCATACACAAAAAGCAGATGTTCCAGATGCTTCCATATTTACCTGGCCAATGATAGCACTCAATGGGATGGCCGTCCTGGAAATAAGCACAAATCTTATGCTGTTCCTCTTCCAATGGAAGAAGAACAAAATGACATGGGGTTGCTTTGCTAAAAGAGTGAAAAATGTGTTGATGGCCAGGGAAGCATCTGGGGGATCAGCTTTTGTGTGAGTGGAGTCTTTGTCCACTCTTCTCTTTCCCCTATCAGGGCTCCTTGAGGAAAAGTTGGATATTTATTTATTTATATTTGCATTATTTCTACCCTGCTCATATCAGCCCGAAGGCGACTCAGAGCGGATATGTGACTAGCCTCCATTTATCTCATCCCAAATTTATATGTATAAGCATATACATGTATTCCAAAATCCTAAAAAATCCAAAAATTGAAAAATGTTAGTTTCTAAGCATTTTGGACAAGAGAAACTCAAGCTATAATGACCAGCTAGAAGGAGCCCAAGGTGAGAAGGTCATTGATGGAACTGATTTTTCTTCAGGGCACTTTGATTGCATTTGTGTATTCTTCAACGCCAGGACAGTTTATTCCAGTTCCTCAATTCTGATCTTAGGAACAATTTGCATGCACCTGCCTCATCCCTCATGGCTTGCAAGTATAACTGAAAGTGTGAATGGCCTTCACTGGACAGTTGGTGCTTATGGTGAAATAAAATTCCCATCTGCAATGTTTGGTCTGTGAAAGCTATTATATGCATACAAGTCATCACTCAACATCACAGTATGCAAATTGTGAACAAGCTTTGAGTGAAATCTCATCTTGAAGTGATAAGTGTAGGAAAGACAAAACAAAAAGTGAGAATTAAATCTCTTATCATTTGGTACAAAGGAGATATCAGACAAATGGGAGGGATACTTAGGGAGGAAGAAAAAGAGGAAAAAATACTGTGAGGTTGGTGTTGGGGAGGGTTATTTACATTACGCAGTTACAGCGCTAAGATTCCCTTTTAATTACTATGACTCTGTCCTATGAGGTCCTGGGATTTACAGTTCAGGAGAAGGCATTTAGAACTCCTATCTAGAAAAGTTTTCTGGTGCATCTCTTGAAACTATAAATACCAAGATTCAACAAGATCCAGCCATGCCAGTCAAAGTGGAATCATATTGCTATAACTGTGTAACTCAAAGGGTCCTTATGGTACTTAGGGACCTTTTGTGTTACCTAATTATAGCATTATGATTATTATGCAAAGTTAAAAGTGGTTCTCATCAAAGTCTATTGTGCCATCACCAAACCTCATATTCCTTCTCCATACATAGCCCTTCCTTGTTTTCCTTATCTTTTTTACGGTATGGCAGGAAATTAGTTAAGGACAAAAAGATGGAATAGCAAGTTGAGGAACCCTCCTAAAGATGGCATAGGTGAAGATAAAGGTTTTCCCCTGACATTAAGTCCAGTCGTGTCTGATTCTGGGGGTTGGTGCTCATCTCCATATCTAAGCCGAATAGCAGGTGTTGTCTGTAGATGCCTCCAAGGTCATGTGGCCAGCATGACTGCATGGAGCACCGTTACCTTCCCACCGAAGCAGTACCTATTGATCTACTCACATTTGCATGTTTTCGAACTGCTAGGTTGGCAGAAGCTGGGACTGACAGCAGAAGCTCACACAGCTCCCTGGATTCGATTGTTGACCTTTTGGTCAACAAGTTTAGCAGCTCAGTGGTTTAACCCACTGCGCCACTGGGGACTCCCTGAAAATGCCATAAGATTTACTAATTTTTTTGGGTGGGGGGATTGAAATTCTAGAGGACATGCAGGAAATCAGGTCCAGGCTTAAGGCAAAATGGATTAGAAAGAATGAATGAATGCCTTTTAGAGAGAACCTCCAACAGCTAAGCATAACCCCAAGTATAACTGTCCAAGAGAAGTGGGTGGAATTTGGAGTGGTGAATTGCATCTTCTACTGAAGAGACAAGCAGCAGTCTGCTTCCAGAGTTCATGATATTATTCTTTGATATACTTCTAGGGACCTCGCTACATGTCTACAGAGTATGGCTCCAAGTTCCGCTACAATATCCCAGGACAACCAGGTACGACTCTTCTTTGCAGGCCTCCCTCCTCTGACATACTATTGCTTCACCAGTTAGAAAAGCAGAACTATGTGTATTTGTTGAGGTTTGCTACCTCTGAATGTCTATACTCAATTAAATTACATGCCACTCTCTAAGAGTTTAGGTGCCTCATACTTATGGCTACTTCCTGCTTGATTGTGTGTTTGTGCAAACCCATTCTCTCTCTACATCACATAGCCTTTCCTTTGCTCTTTAGGGTCTCATCTGATTTATGCCTCTTTCTTCCTATCTTCCTGGAAGTGTGTGTGACAACTTCTCTCTCTGGGTGAGATGCTCCAACTCTCCTGACACTTTCTTTTCTTACCTTTCATCAGAAAAATGAGCACAAGTATTTGTGAGTAAAACTACTTTTATGTGTTTTACGAAGAAGATTAGGGACTTTATCACAAGAACCCATTATTCCACTACAGCTGTGTTTTCGTAAATAGTGGATACATACTGCGATGAGCACTTTTGATGTCGCTTCTCTTTTAATTAGTGCAATTGTGTCAATTTGCCAACCTGTAGCCCCACAATTGTATTTTTGCCAACCCGCATAATCTCACCTTCCCACATTACTGCTGAGAGAGAGAGAGAGGGAGAGAGAGAAATAAATATTTTCTTGAGCAATCAGACATGGCATTAATAGCTATAAGCTATAAACTGCTATGAATAACATGACATTACAAAGTCAAAAGTATGACTAGGATATGAAACAAACATCCCATCGTTTTGTGTAACATTTTCCAGCCATGGAATAATTCTGGTGAGTCACACCAGCATATAAACACCAATATGGCATCTGAATGAACAGCGTGTGCAACTGTAAGCCTGATAAGACAGATTGAAACCAGTAAGACAAAAATACATTTAGAAGAATGGGTGGGGTGCAGCCCCTATTGGATTCTATGGGGATAATGCAGAAGTTGCTCAACTATGGGCTAAAAAGCATGTTTTTGTTATGATCCAGTTGAGTCTCTTACCCATTCAGACTAGATGCTTGACTTTTTTTTTACCCAGGTGCAGTGTGCCTTTTAGGAATCAGTGCCAGATAAATATAATAGGAGAAGTTCGTTCAACCTGATTCTAAACATAATGGTCACAATCCAGTGCAAAATTAGGGTTTTTAAAGATCTGTACTGGCTTTTGACATTCGTATGCCTAAAACAAGACCGCATATGAAATTGTGCTGCCTTCACAAAGGTAGAAATTTGGGATATATTTCCTCTATGTTCTTATCCTTTTTTTAAACATCATGCCACAGAATGCCATTCTTCCTACTCTGAATCTCACCTCCCTGTTCTTTGAATTTTAAGTTCTTCTAAATCTGTATGTAGGTAGCTGCTGCAGCAGTTTGGCCTAAATCCAGATCACAAGTTACTTCCAGTTGATTTTTAAAAAGTTGCACATATCATTACTGTCACCCACTAGTATTCAAAAAATAATGCCATAGACATTGGAAATTGTGAGATTAAAATGTAAACTGCAGTTTTTGCTTTGGGTTGCTGTGAGTTTTCTGGGTTGTATGGTTATGTTCCAGAAGCATTCTCTCCTGATGTTTTGCTCACATCTATGGCTGGCATGCTCAGAGGTTGTGAGGTCTGTTGGAATCTAGGCAAGTGAGGTTTATATATCTGTGGAATGTCCAGGGTGGGAGAAAAAACTCTTGTATGCTGGGGGCAAGTGTAATTGTTGCAATTGGTCACCTTGGTTAGCACAGAAGGGCTAAAACCCCAAACAAAGTTTTTGTTGTTTGGGTTGTTTTGATAGGTTGTTTTGAGGGCCTATTTATTTTTTACACCCATGATAATTTTAACATTTAAAGTCTTCCTTTAGACTCTATATTTTGGGATGTTGGAAATATTTTATAATGAAAATGGACTTTCTTATGTAACTGTGAGGGTTGGAGAATTTAGAACGGTGTAACCTTTTTAAAATAGCATTGTAAGAGTTGTGAAGTGCCATGTAAATTCTGTCTTACCTAAATGTCTTGGGACAGCTTGTCACATCGCATAGCACAGGTACAGCTCTATAACCCAGTCTTGTGTGTGAGAATAAATTCATCATTTAAGGTGACAATCAGAAATCCATGCAGCTCTTTGAGAGAACTTTTCTGTATTCTGTATTACCTTTTTGGGAATTTGCAGTTGAGGGGCCTTCCCTCTTAGCAAGTGCATGGATTGAAATTTCAGATGAAACAGAGTACTTGAAGGTTTCCTATAGTTATGTCACACCCAGAGGCAGCCCTAGGTAATTTTCAACTGTAAGCAAACAGTATTTTGCCCCCCCCCCCAACCAATCACTGATATATATTTTCTGTTCGTTGTGGGAGTTCTGTGTGCCATATTTGGTTCAATTCCATCATTGGTGGAGTTCAGAATGCTCTTTGATTGTAGGTGAACTATACATCCCAGTAACTACAACTCACATATGTCAAGGTCTATTTTCCCCCAAGAGCACCTCAAGAGCGCCCCTGGGCAAAATCAACTATACTGCAAATGCTTACTTTGCATAATGGGTTGAGCAGCCCCTGGTCACACCCTAGAGCAGAACTTTCTAAACTGTGTGTAGCAACATGTTTGTGTCAGCTACAGTGTGTAGATATGTTGCAAAATCTTGGAAATGTCTATCATTATCATACAAATAATATATTTTTAGAAAAACAAATGAAAGGTTTTTATGAGATATTAGCCATCCCCTGCCACACATTGCTGTGACCAAGTCTGTATAGATGTGTTTTTTGTGTGTGTGTATATATATATATTTGTATATATGTGGCTTTGTGCATTCACTGTAATGTATTTTTTATTTTTTGGCTTTTAATGTATTTTCTGCTGTGTTTTTCAGTGTTTTTATGAGTGATGGTCACTCGGTGACCTGATAGGTGTATTTGGTGTCAGTCCGTCCAGTGGTTTTTGAGTTATTTTTATTTATATAGATTACTAGCCATCACCTGCCATGTGTTGCTGTGGCCCACTTTGTGTATATGTGCTTTGTGTGTGCATATATTTGTGTATATATGCATGGTTTTGCACATGAGTTGTGATGTAATTTTTGTTTTTTGTCTTTTTAAGTCTTTTCTGCTGTGTTTTTCCGTGTTTTTATGAGTGATGGTCATTTGTTGGCCTGATACATGTATTGTGTCCAAATTTGGTGTCAATTCTCCCAGTGGTTTTTGAGTTATGTTAATCCCACAAACGAACATTACATTTTTATTTATATAGATGTTGCAACCCCAGGGGCGGCTCAACCCATTACGCAGTATAGTTGATTTTGCCCAGAGGCACTCTTGAGGTGCTCTTGGGGTAAAATAGACCTTGACATATGTGAGTTGTAGTTACTGGGATGTATAGTTCACCTACACTCAAAGAGCATTCTGAACTCCGCCAGTGATGGAATTGAACCAAATATGGCACACACAACTCCCACGACGAACAGAAAATATATATCAGTGATTGGTTTGGGGGGGGGGGGGCTCAAAATACTGTTTGCTTACAGTTGAAAATTACCTAGGGCCGCCTCTGTGAAACCCCATACATTTCATTATAACAATTTACATTTCTGCCCATATCTCTTATGAGGGGCTGGTTTAACATCAGGTTTGCTAGTAAAACTGAATTACTGTGTCATGAAATGATGCATGTTTAAAAAGTGTGTCATCATCTCTCTGCCTTAGAGACTTCCTTTCTGTTGCTGAGTCTACCCTCTATAGCCTCCACATGCCAGCAGCAGAAGGATGGCTTCTATTCCTCCTCCGTCAGATGTGAAAATTAGAAAATTGCAAGACTGGGGTCATAATAAGGCTACGTTGGAAAAGGCTGTTTCAGGATTAATAGCTATTAGTCATGATGACTATATTTTGCAAGCTCCTGGATAAAAAGGCAGCATCAATTGTTGGGGTATAACAACAAGAATGGACATTTTTTTTGCCTGTCTTTGTCCTCTGGTCTGATTCAACCTGGCTGTTCTTACTTTTCTGTATTGCGGCTGATGACCTTCAATGTTATATATTTTACACAATGCATCAGAGGATTCATATGAAACAGACCTCTCTGATGGTATTACCACGAGAGTGATCACTATGTGGATCAATCCTCATCTACCCTCTGACACTTTACAGATGAAAATCAGAACATGAAACTATCACACTAAAGTTTGGTACAAAGGGTGTGACCAAGCAAAAAGAGGGCAAAGGTTATTACTGCAAAGGAATACACAACCATTGTTTCAAGCAGAAAAACCTTGAGATTTATTGTCTAAGAGTAGAAAAACGATTGGAGGATTGGACAAAAAGGAGATCAGCGAGGAAGAAATACAGGCTGAGCATCCCTCATCTGGAATTTGGAAATCCAAAAGACTCCCCGAATCCAAAATTGTCCACCTAGGTGGCTGGAATAGTGATACCTTTGCTTTCTAATGGCACACAAACTTTCACGCAGAAAATTGTAGAAAATATTTCCTTTGAGGACAGACAGTGGGTTATAAATTAAGTCATCTTCTGCTTCTTGTTCTCCTCCTCCTCCTCTTCCTCCTCCTTTAAAATTCCCTCCAGGCCAGGCCCGTAGCCAGGATTTCGATTTGGGGGGGGGGGGCTGAGTTTGTTTCGGGGGGGGGGGGGGGTGGGCTGAGTCTGAGTGAAAGAGGGTCTACCCTAGCAAACCTTTTGTATTGTTACCCCGATACCCCCATGCATATGGGATATATTGAGCATGGTGATCAGATCATGATATGAATAAACATAACAGTTTCCATTGGCAACCATCTTTGAGAGTTCTTGGAGAACGGGAGAAGTTCCAGCAGATTGGAGGAGGGCCAGTGTGGTCCCAATCTTCAAGAAGGGAAAAAAGGATGACCCAAACAACTACCGTCCGGTCAGCCTCACGTCAATACCAGGCAAGAATCTGGAAAAGATTGTTAAGGAAGTGGTCTGCAAACACTTAGAAACAAATGCAGTCATTGCTAATAGTCAACATGGATTTATCAAAAACAAGTCATGCCAGACTAATCTGATCTCTTTTTTCGATAGAGTTACAAGCTGGGTAGATGCGGGAATGCCGTGGATGTAGCGTACCTGGATTTCAGTAAGGCCTTCGACAAGGTCCCCCATGACCTTCTGGCAAGGAAACTAGTCCAATGTGGGCTAGGCAAAACTACGGTGAGGTGGATCTGTAATTGGTTAAGTGGACGAACACAGATAGTGCTCACTAATGCTTCCTCTTCATCTTGGAAAGAAGTGACAAGTGGAGTGCCGCAGGGTTCCGTCCTGGGCCCGGTCCTGTTCAACATCTTTATTAATGACTTAGATGAAGGGCTAGAAGGCATGATCATCAAGTTTGCAGACGACACCAAAGTGGGAGGGATAGCCAATACTCCAGAGGACAGGAGCAGAATTCAAAACGATCTTGACAGATTAGAGAGATGGGCCAAAACTAACAAAATGAAGTTCAACAGTGACAAATGTAAGATACTCCACTTTGGCAGAAAAAATGAAATGCAAAGATACAGAATGGGTGACGCCTGGCTCGAGAGCAGTACGTGTGAAAAAGATCTTGGAGTCCTCGTGGACAACAAGTTAAACATGAGCCAACAATGTGATGTGGCGGCAAAAAAAGCCAATGGGATTTTGGCCTGCATCAATAGGAGCATAGTGTCTAGATCTAAGGAAGTGATGCTACCCCTCTATTCTGCTTTGGTTAGACCACATCTGGAATATTGTGTCCAATTCTGGGCACCACAATTCAAGAGAGATCTTGACAAGCTGGAATGTGTCCAGAGGAGGGCGACTAAAATGATCAAGGGTCTGGAGAACAAGCCCTATGAGGAGCGGCTTAGGGAACTGGGCATGTTTAGCCTGAAGAAGAGAAGGCTGAGAGGAGATATGATAGCCATGTATAAATATGTGAGAGGAAGCCACAGGGAGGAGGGAGCAAGCTTGTTTTCTGCTTCTCTTGGAAACTAGGACGCGGAACAATGGCTTCAAACTACAAGAGAGGAGATTCCATCTGAACATGAGGAAGAACTTCCTGACTGTGAGAGCCGTTCAGCAGTGGAACTCTCTGCCCCGGAGTGTGGTGGAGGCTCCTTCTTTGGAAGCTTTTAAGCAGAGGCTGGATGGCCATTTGTCAGGGGTGATTTGAATGCAATATTCCTGCTTCTTGGCAGGGGATTGGACTAGATGGCCCATGAAGTCTCTTCCAACTCTTTGATTCTATGATTCTAAATAATGCACCAGTAAGGCCTTTTCGCGAACCACCATGAGAATTTCCGGGGGGGGGGGCTTAAGCCCCTCAAGCCCCTCCCCCCTGGCTACATGCCTGCTCCAGGCTATGTGCAAAAAGTGAATGTGAAACTAATGAATTTCATATTTAGGTTACATTCCCAAGATACCTCATTATATATGCATATGCAAATACAGATATTCCAAATAATAATAAAAAATAAAAATAAACATCTGAAATCCTAAAATTTTGAATTCTAATCTTGTCGTTAAGGGCACTTTTTCTTAAACTGTGGGTCTTGACCCCAAATTGGTCCTTTAGCTCAATGTTGGGATTACTGTATTCTGTAGAAAATACTTCAGCTGTACTTCACACATAGGAAAAATCAACCTGTTTAGTGATCCTTGCAAATATTGATTTAATATCAGTTATTATTTTATTATTGTACCTATTTTATATACCTATATACCCATGAAAAAAATTCTCAGCTAGAAAATGTTTAAGAATCCCCACTGTAGGGTATTAGTGCTCTCTCTCTCTCTCTTTCTGTGTGTATGTGTGTGTGTGTGTAATTTTGAGTTGCCTGTTGACTTAGGGAAACCCTTGAATTTAATTCGATTTTCCAGGTAAGGAATACCAGAAACAGTATGGCCAGTTCCTTCCGCTGAAAGATAACCTACAGCAGTGGAGTTCATTGGCGATCTCCCATATAAGTATTAACGAAAGATGACCCTGCTTAGCTTAGTGATGCCATTGTGGCCCTCCAGGTGTTTTGGACTCCAGCTCCCAGAATACTTGGCCATTGGACAAGCTCACTGGGGTTTCTGGGAGTTGGAGGCCCAAACATCTGGAGGACCACAAGTTTGACACTTCTGCACTAGCCCTAGTGAAAGACCATTTGCTTTTTAAAAACTTTGTCCACCTTCTTCCCCGTCCTTTCCTTCTTTTGTGTCATGTCTATTTAGCCTGTACACCTGAGGGCAAGGGCTGTCTTGTTTTTATTGATTGTTTGTAAGCTGTTCCAGGAGCCTTGTTGGCTGAGGAGAGAGATTAACATGCTTTCAAATTAAATCTTCCCATGCAGATTTCCTGCAAAAGAAAACAATTGGAGCCAAAGAAGAGACAGGATTCACTGAAGGTTGCTTCGCCAACCCCATTTTGGACAAAGCAGCAGCTCAGGTTGTCCCAGTGCACTCTGTATATGCTGCTGTTCTTGGCAAGGGCCAAGATGTCTATATGAAGCATGCTACACAGCCAATCACTAGCAAAATTGCTGCCCTTGTTCTAGTAGTGCAACTGCATTTGAGTTTTGGAGTAGTGGTGTCTTCCCTGTGACCCTCATTTACATTACTCTGTCTGTCTGTCTGTCTGTCTGTCTGTCTGTCTGTCTGTCTGTCTATCTATCTATCTATCTATCTATCTATCTATCTATCTATCTATCTATCTATCTATCTATCTATCTAATGTCAGAAGCATTGCATAAATAAGTATAAAACTGATAAAAATAGAAGGAGCACAAGCAGCTAAATAATTTTTGATCAAAAAAGGGCAACAGCAACCACATTGTAGCTTTAAACAATTCTTCCTCTGTGCATGAGGCAGGGCATTGTGAACAAGCACACAGATGCTTGGTTGTTTGTTCTGCTCCACAGTTGCACAAGGTGGAGTATTCTTCTTGGTAGTGCCATTTTGCCAGGTTGTCTTTTGATCTGCCCACTTCACTTCTAAGTCTGTTCAGGGACTTCCAAGTTACCTATTCTTGGTTTGCCCCTGCACTAATTCTACGGTGTAGATGTACCATTGGTTTCTCTGTAGTTAGAGATCCCTGCAGTTTTTTTTATTATTGCAGGAAGATGGTTCGATATAATTATCTGTGGGTTACTATGCAATTGATTTCTTCTACAAAGGACTCCTTGCATCCTTTTATGATATCCCTTTAGTAGGAGCTGTAATGTGGAACAAGTGTTCAGCCTAGCCTACTTGAGGTCTTAATACTGTGTTCTGTTTCACAGGCCAGCATGCCGGGGGTCAGCATTACGAAGACAGATTATCTGCCATCCTCTTTTCCCCATGTAAGGAATCTATTTATAGTTGCGGATTGAGAGAACAGATGAAGGGATATATTTGCTCGCCTGTGCCATTTTTCACCTCTTGTATTCCACCTCTGACTGCTTGTGTGTACTATACCCACCCACCTGCATTATGTTCCTCTTGACAGGGTGACGAGTTTCTCCCAGTCCTTTCCAAAGGCTCTGAAAGGGGGTCTGGATTCAGTCGGCAGAATAATCTTGGACCTGGTACTGAAGTAAGTGATGTGCCCGTGCTGGCAGAAGTCAAATACCTCCAGATTGTTCTGCTGTATGTATATTCCCTCTGCCTATTGGCTTTTTGGCTTTTTTTGTTTAGCTGCCTGCTTTCCTTTCCATGTCCTATGTGTCTACAGTTCTCTCTAGCCTCATATAGCTCCTTCTATCTACAGCAGCAAAATAAATCAGGTGCATTTTGGAGAATTCCCCTCCTAATGCAACACCTATTTGTAATATAGCAGTGTGACGTATGATGGCCACACATTTCCCCTCCCCAAATTCGGAGTAGTAGGACAGCTTTTTCCCTGCTTTTTATTTTCAACTCTCCAATCTACACTCAAAAAATAAAAATGAAATGTTGACACTTGCCACCCACCAATCTGTCTCACCCCACCCTTCACCCCCAATCCAGATAGAGATACTAGAAAAATACTTTTTTCTGCAAAAAGTGTGGAACAAGAAGTGTTTTTTTTAAAAAAGACATTAAAGCCTAAAAGAAGCACTTCCACTGTCTTACGTTGTATGTTCCCACAGCACCAGAATAGAGGTGAGTATAGAAGTTTTTGACATGTAGACAACCCCTCTGTGTGCTATAATAATATTAACACTAATAATAATAATCATCATCAGTCCTAGACACTTGGGAAGTGTCTGATGTGTGATCCAATTCAACAGCCAGCAGAGTGTCTGCTGTGGACTCATCTTGTTGTGTTTCAAATAATAATAATACTTCTGAAATCAGACAGACAGAGTTTTGGAGCACAATATTCCTGACCTCACAAACATGTTAAAAAACAAAGTATGGATCATCGATGTCTCAATCCCAGGTGACAGCAGGATTGAAGAGAAACAACTGGAAAAGCTGACACAATATGAGAATTTAAAGATCGAACTGCAAAGACTCTGGCACAAGCCAATAAAGGTGGTCCCAGTGGTGATCAGCACACTGGGTGCAGTGCCTAAAGACATTGGCCTGCACTTAAGCACAATTGGTGCTGACAAAATTACCATCTGCCAGCTGCAAAAGGCCACCTTACTGGGATCTGCACGCATTATTCGCTCATACATCACACAGTCTTAGACACTTGGGAAGTGTCCGACGTGTGATCCAGTACAACAGCCAGCAGAGTGATCTTGTTTGCTGTGGAGTCATCTTGTGTTTCAAGTAATAATAATAATAATAATAATAATAATAATAATAATAATAATACATTATTTATATTCAGCCCTATCTCCCTGGGACTCAGGGCAGGTTCCAAGCAGAAAAGACAAACATTCAATGCCATATTTCAATAACACATTTCTCTACCCGTGTTCTTTTCTGTCTAAATTGTTCTCCGCCTTTCTCTGAGGCTGAATCTACACTGCCGTACAATCCAGATTATTAAATCAGATAATCTGATTTATCTGCTTTGAACTAGATTATATTGTCTATACTGCTATAATCCAGTTCAAATCAGATAATCTGGATTTTATATGGCAGTGTAGATGGGGCCTAAGGCTTTTCTTCCCCTACCAGAAACTGCAAACAAAGATCTCCCATTTTTCTGTTTGTTTGTTTTTTTTTTGTATCACCATCTGGTGTCTTAGTATTCTCTTTTGTTCTTACTCTCCAACCACCATCCACCTGCACCTTCCATTTCCTTCTCCACTCTCCATTCTTTACTATGCTTTCTCTGTGGTGCTTCAGCAGCTCTCAGGATGAGGTCTTTACTTATTATCACCCTCTTGCTTCTCTACAGGAAACCCCACCCAGTGCAGAGGTGCCAGGCCCTCTGAGCCACTCTCAGTACCAAGGGCTTCAGAGGCAACCTCAGACGCGGACCAGCCTTCTAGGACGGGAATATGTGGGCAACAAGGTATGCCTGAAAGGCAATCTCAAGGCCTTACAGTTTCATCACAGCTCTTTAACCCATAAGTCTATTTGCTCTGTCCATCTGGTTCCAAGTCCTTTTTATTTTATTTTCATGGCTTCACACGTAGGAGCTAACAGGATTCAGCCACAATAACCTCAGTTATGTGACACCAGCGTATGATCCTAATCATGCCAACAGGTTCCTGACTAGCTACAATTCCAAGTGAGTCTGTTTGGTTCCTTTTGACATCCTATATTTAGGGCGATAACACTCTCAGTGTTAGAGTGATAACACTCTTTCTATATAAAAGCACTATTAATGTCCTTTAATATGTGGAAACCTTATGGTTCACTTGTTTGTGTAGGTATTAGCTTGTTGTATGTAAGAACTTTGGAGAGATCTTTGAGGCAGCAGTAGGGTATACACCATTCCTGGGTCTGCGGGTTGATGTGTGACTTGCATGTACAAAAATAGATCCTCACATGGTATTGTAAGTAGCCACAAAAATAGATACTCACATGGTATCATAAGGAGCCATGGTAGTGCAATGGGTTACACTCTTGTGCCGACTGAACTGCTGACCTGAAGGTTGGTGGTTTGAATCTGCGAGATAGGGGTCAGCTCCCGTCTGTCAACTCCAGCTTCCCATGCGGGGACATGACAGAAGCCTCCCACAAGCATCCCCTGGGCAATGTCTCTGCAGATGGCCAATTCTCTCACACCAGAAGCGACTTGCAGTTTCTCAATTCGCTTCTGATACAATTAAAAACATTGCATCATAGGGCCTTGGGTGCTTGGCATTTTGTAGGAACTGTATACAAGTAACTATTTGCTTAGGAAAGAGGAGCCTGTGTGGATTTTGTTAGCCATGCCATAACCCACCTCTTATTTTCCACAGGTTTTATGAAAACATACCAAAGGGCGTGGACAGGGAAGGCTGGACACGGGGAGGGATCCAGCCACAGCAGGCAGGGGGGTTCGCTACCAACAACCATGCCACCGATTTAGGCACTGATCCCAATGCCACAGAGACCTTGAGGACTGTTCACCCCCATGTTGGAAGGTAACACTCATTGCATTTGTTTGTGCTGTTTCTTTGTCCTTCCTCTGTTCCTACTCTGGGATGCCACTTGCAATGCCTATTCTCCACTCTTCTCCCTCATTCCAACTGGCATGCCATTTTCTGCTTTGTATTGTGTTCTCTCCTGCAATTACAGGACCATCACAACCGTTGATCCATTTTATCGTGATTCTCCCCACGACCGCCGCTTCACAGCTCTCCATCAGACAACTGTACCCAATTAAGTAAGGGACATCATCCATTTTTTCCTTAGGGCGGTAGTATAACAGTGTTAAGCATAATAGGGTATCTGTCTGGACACCTTGCGTAAAGACAAGGTGATCCTGTGTGTTACTTTTTGTATGATTCAGCAACTATATGATAACTGGGCTTTAGAGCTTATTGGATGTAATCCTGGTCTCATTTCCTTTTCCAGGAATGCATGCAAAACAAAAACCCCTCATTTTTTTCTCTCTAAAGCAAATGTGCATAGGAGCAGCAAAATTCTTCCTCTAGAATTTGCCTTGCATTAGTGTTCTTGGGAAAGGGAAATGAGACATTTTATTTGTATATAATCTTTCCTACCACTCAGCATTTACCCTTTCTCTGTTTTCTCTCTCTTTGCAGCCTCTGCTCTGAATTATGCAGCTCCTTTGAACTTCAGGTCTATATCCCACTGGCTAAAGAAAAACACCAGTGATGATGCTCAAAAACTTTAATCTCAAAAGTTTTTTTGTTTTCAACGAATTAAAACATACCTTACTGATATATCTGATGTCACAAACACTCAAAATGGATGAAGGAAAATCTTTAGAAGCTGGAGTAAATAAGGTTTTTGGGAAGAATTTGGGAAGACGTTAAGACTTGGATCATAAGCAGGAAATGGGGAAGAATGACAGTGTGGCTTTATATACCATGTGATAGATGTAACACAGTTTTAAACATTTAGGTATATTATAGGTAATCAATTTGTCTCTCCAATTTTCAGTTTCATCGCTAAATTTCTCCACTCTACTGTTCCCTAAGATCAAAGAACAATATCACTATCTTGGATTAATATCTCACCTCTCTAAGAGGCATACAGTGCTTGTGAGCTGCTTGACTATTATTTATTTATTTATTTACAGTATTTATATTCTGCCCTTCTCACCCTGCAGGGGACTCAGAGTGGATTACAATGTACACATATATGGCAAACATTCAATGCCAAAGACACACAACAGATATAGACAAATGGTCAGAGGCTATTTAACTTTTCTGGCCGCCAGGGAAGCTGTCGCATTCCTCATCCATCTGTGACACTGATGAAGTACTTCCGCATTCCCCCATTCCCCGCATGCTTTTTGCTGGAGTGCTTTGCTGGAGTCTTTGTTATGGCCTCGTAAATTAGTTAAATTTGCCTCCCCACACATAGGTCATACCTAATTTTCCTACTTGACAGATTCAACTGTCTTTTGGGTTGCAAAGGTCGACAACAAGCTACACAATTGGTCGGAAGCTCACTCTGACCCGGGCTGGCTTCGAACTCATGACCTTATGGTCAGAAGTGATCTTAATGCAGCTGACACTCAGACAGCTGTGCCACAGTCCCCACTTACACTGCCATATAATGCAGTATCAATTGCTCCTCTGTCTGTACAGAACTTCATTTTTCAGCAACAGCACTGTAAAAATTGTTTTGTCTGACAGTACAAGCTGGCTCACTGAAATGGTGGGAATTGTGTAGCCCTCTAGATGTTGTCAGACTGCTAATTCCAATAGGCCTTGCTAGCATAAGGAATGGCGAGACATACTGAGAGCTGCAGTTCAGCAAGAGCTTGAGGACCACACAATTCCTTCCCCGGTGTTACATTTTCTAAATGGTATTATTTAGTAATATGTTAATTCCAATATTGTGGTATTAGCCTATGTGACTGTATGATATTCTCTGTCTTTGTAAGTATGAGTTTAATATCAGTTAAACACACACATAGAGGATTCCTCGTACCCCTACAAGTTGTGATAAAATATCATGCAACAAAACTTTCATATGCGCCCTTATGCTATGATACACCAATTCATCAGCTTACGTAGTCAGTAGGATCCTGCTGCTTTCATTCAATGAACATTCACACAGTTGAGAGAACATTGTGTGGTGTGAAACTAACAGAAGGTGCATGCTGAGCTGGAATTCCCTGCATCCTTCCATTATCTTTTGGTTACTTATAGCAAAGACCATTCTCCCACATGTGCCCTTACCCCACCATCACGCGCATGGTTACATGAACTCAGATTCACTTTCCCCCCCTTTTCCAGCATGGAACTGACACCTTGGTGTCGCTTCCCGTTCAGGTGCAAGGCACACCATCTCAGCTTTTGTTCTCAGTTTTCTATCCAGTAATAATTGGTGCTATAGTGTGCTCTCTTCCATTTTCCATTTCTCACATTTCTCTCTGTGGATGAGTTTTCACTCCTAGTGAATGTTTCATGAGCTGGTGGCGCAGGTTGCTCTGACACTGGAAAAATACTTCTCGGTGCCACACACAGCAGCTTCACGTTCAGGGTAATGCTATCTGGCACCCAATCAGCTTTCCACTGTGCCCTGGAATGTGATAACATATCTGATGTATTCAAACTGAAAGGCTCTACTATTTTACCCAGCAAACCCTACACTGTTGTCCTAGAACTTGCTTTGCATCTAGTCGCTACCTGGAATGCATTTGTTGCTTGATGCTGAAACATGATTGATTCAAAGATGAGGCATATGGGTGCATAAACAGTTAAAAAGCCAGCTTAATTATACTTTATAAGGAAAAGAAAGTACCTCTATTTAGAAACCATCAATTTCCCACCCTAAGTACTGTTTGGCCGCCTCTGCAGACATATGTGGTGAATTTAAAGTCAGCATTTGCAAGCAAATATATGCATTATTTTAATTATTTGGGATGCCATTAAAATTAACCTTTATTGTGAGTCCCACTTTCTAAATCTTGTTTGTCAAAACTGATCTGAAATGTTTCTTGCTGTTTAGGTTTTCTGAGGCTGGGAGTGTGTAACTCCCCTAAGGTCACCCAGTGGGTTTCTTTCCATGGTTGAGCTGGGAATCAATCCAGGTCTCCAGAATCATAGTACAACACCCAAACCACTACAACAATGTCTAGATTGTTGTAATTTGACTTCACCTTTGAAGCTGTATGCTGCTGACTGCTAAATGAACTTTGTAAGCCATTTCTTTCTGCTATTTGCTTCCACCTATGACCCTGTTTGAAGAGAGTTCCTAGTAGAGCTGGGTAGTCAATACCCATCATTTTTCTCTTCTAAATCTTAGCATCTACATCTTTGTGTACATCCTGTATAATTACACTCTCTACCATGCTGTTCTTGCATACCTAATTTGCTATCTGGGCCTCTCTCTCTGCTTTTTCCCTCCCACTGAATATCTGTGTTTATATTTCCCCAGATGGATTAGCTGCATTTTTTGAAGATAAGCATGCCTTGATATTATTGAGTGAGTAGGGGTTCTTGTCCCAAATTAGATTTTTGCTCAACCTGCTTGTGGGTGGATATGGAGGTGTGCCTTCCATATTTGCACAACCTGTATATCTACTGGCTGACGGACGTGGTTACCTGAAAAACGGGCCACTGTTTCCTGACAATCCTCATAGGATGCCATGTTAAAACTTAGAAAGCATAAATGGGTGCAGATTAAATCTGTGACATCAGCTGATAACTGACTCAGCCGAAGACAAAGAAACCTGCATGCAGCTTTGAAAAAAAGAATCCTATCACCATTATAACCATCTGGAGAAAAATTAATTTAGAGTTAGTGTCACTCATTATGATGGATACATGACTGAGGGAGTGATGGTACCAAAATAGCTCACTTACTAAGGGGTGTACTTGGTGTTTGCTTCTGGGATCATAGTGGCTGGAGCCAACTGTGCTAAATTCTTTCTCTTACTCTGATCTCATCTACACTGCTATATAATGCAGTTTGAAACTGCATTACATTGTCTGTGTGGAATCATATAATGCTGTTTATCTGCATTGAACTGCATTTTATGAGTTTCTTTATTTACAGTATTTAAATTCCACTCTTCTCACCCTCTCACCCTGAAGGGTATTCAGAGCGGATCACAGAACACATATATATCAGGACATTTATACTGACCATATAATGCAGTTTCAAATGGCATTATGGCAGTGTAGAAGAGGCCTTACTCTCATTCTGAGTCTGATTTGCTTGTCAGTAAAGTCAATGGAGAAGTGCCGTAATTTGCAATTTCTGTGGGAGCTAGATCAAGATGTTAAGAGTACCGTTTGTCTTAACTGCCAAGTGTGCATGTTCCGCAATTGTTAACCATTTATTTATGCATATGTTATTCCTGAATATTAGGCAGACGCCAAACTTCCTTTCTATAATGAAAAATATGCTTTTTGCAAAACACAGAAGTCCTTGGCCAAGGACTCCCTATTGAGCACCAACAGCCGATTTGTGCCATAGATACAAAGCTGAAGTGTTGCTTACAGTACTGTGTTGCAGTGGGTTGAGTGCTTGTATAATAGTGTAAGAGTCACAGCAAGCTTTTCCAGGACACAGTAGTGGTTGTGGAGGCAGCCTGCTGTGTCTTGTGCTTTAATGAGCTATTTTGGGATGAAAGAACTGTTTTGTTGTTTTTATGCCGAACATAACTCTGTGTTACCAGACGCCAGGGACATACACTTCATGTACACTCATGCCTTACTTCATGTCTGAACCATTTTAGGATTGGTACTTCTTGGAGACACTGCCTTCCAGCATGAGACACTTCATGCTGGAGTTGGTCCTGTGAAGGGTGTTGTATTATTTGTTCTTCTCACAAAGCGTTCATGCATCGCAAGAACTACTTTCACAGCTAGTTTGTGCAGAATTCTTTGGGCAGTCAGCTTAGTATGTGGCATCACAGGTGGAAGTATCTGGCAAAATTTGGAGATAATGTAATGATGAACCATTGTAACAATGGACACTTGGGCCTTAAGTCAATTTAATAGTCTAAAGGAATCAGTGGGAACTGATCTAGGACAGATACCTTCTGGGAATGCCCTAGATTAGGGCTTCTTAAACTGGGTCTTGACCCCAAGTGGGTTCCCTCAGCTCAGTGGTTCTCAACCTGTAGGTCCCCAGATGTTTTGGCCTACAACTCCCAGAAATCCCAGACAGTTTACCAGCTGTTAGGATTTCTGGGAGTTGAAGGCCAAAACATCTGGGGACCTACAGGTTGAGAACACTGCACGTAGCTCAATATTGGAGTCTCATTTTTTTTCCTAAATGTCACCTGGTGGCTCTTTTAGACATTTACACGGATCTGTTGTACAGTGCTTTTGAGATTGCTGTTTATGTATTGTGTTTTATTTTTGATTTGGTTTTTGTACTGTGTTTTATTTTCTGAAAGCTGCTCCGAGTCCTGTTTGGAGAGAGGGGGTGGGATATAAATAAAGTTTATTATTATTATTATTATTATTATTATTATTATTATTATTACATGGACTCTGCAGAAGATGCTTCCGCTGTACTTCACAAAAAGGAAAATCAGTTTGTGTAGCAAGTCTTGCAAAAGCTGATGTGTTATCATTGACTGCTTGGTTTTTATACCTATTTTATATATCTGGATCACGTAAAAAATTCTTAGGCTGAAAGGGATCATGAGTGGAAAAATTTAAAAAGCCCTGCTCTAGATGAATTTTCTGCATTGGCCGGGAGGTTGGCATTAGTCCTTCTGACTCTGATTCTGTGAAATGAATACAGTACAGGCAGTCCCCGAGTTACAAACATCTGACTTACAAACAACTCATAGTTAGGAACAGGGGTGAGACAACAGGAATCTACCCCTAAGAAAGGAAATTATCTCCTGGAAGAGTAATCATGGGGAAAGGGTATCTTCACTTAAGCATTTTCACCAATCCTTGTTTCCACAACAAGCCACATTCTTCAAAATCCAATTATCGCAGGGACAGAAAATGAGGTGAACAGGGGAACACACCCTGTGGAAGTGAACGATTTCTGCCCCTCCAAACATTGTTGGGACTACAAACTCTTACATGCAATTTGTGGATAATGTGGATTGAAAACTTGTAATGTGATGACAGCCACAGGTTCGTTGCCTCAGGATTACAGGGGGCTTGTGACTGTCAGTACTTTTTGTGTGAGAGAAGGTTCTTTACAATAGATGTGGGCAAACAATGGCCTTCCAGATGTTGGGCCGCAAGTCCCATGTACATTGCAATATAACATTTTATCTTGCACATCTGGCCCGCCCTTTGTGTTTGATTTTTATTATGTTGTTTTGCACTGTTTACTTTATTTTGTTACATTATGCATTTTGTTGTGTTTAATGTTCTGTTGTTTTGTATCTTATTTTGCTGCATTATTTTTGGGCTTGGCTTCATGTTAGCCACCCCGAGTCCTCCTTGGGGAGATGGTGGCGGGGTATAAATAAAGATGATGATGACTATTATTATGTAAGTTCCAACTGTACAATATGGTTGGTGTGGACGCATATAATGCAGTTCAATGCAGATATATGCATTATATGGCAGTGTAAAGGGGCTTTAGTGGTTCTGTGGCTAAGCAGGGACTGAAACAGTAGTCTCCAGAATCATCATCCAGCACTCAAACTTTCCCAAAACTTGTGTTGGCTTTGAGACTTGGGGTGCATCTACACCAGTGGTTCCCAGCTATTTTTTGACCAGGGACCACCTTGACCAAGGATCACTTTGACCAGGGCCCACTCTGCCCATTACATATTTGGCACTGTATTTCAGCGTAGAGCAATGCTTCCCAACCTTTTTTTTTTGACCAGGGACCACTTTGATCAGGGACTACTCTCCAACATTAGTACCAAAAGGATTCCAAATCAGTTTTTGATCAACTTTAGATTCAGTTTGGTTATTTGGGATGCTGATTCAGAAAATTGCATTGGTTAGACCATATCAGCTTAAGTTTCTGATACAGAACATATGCCATGGTCAGCGACAGGGGAGTGACAGGTGGTGCAAAAGGAGCAGATGTCACTACCTCTGAGGATGCTTTCCATAGATGCAGGTGAAACGTCAGGAGAGAATGCTTCTAGAACATGGCCATATAGCCCGAAAAACCTACAACCCAGAAATAAAATAAATAAAATATAATAAATAAATAAAAAGGAAGGAGACTCATAGACCAAAATTTTGTCCTTACAGCCCATTGGTGGTCCATGGCCCACAGGTTAAGAACTTATAGAATCATGTTATCCAGTAGTCACCATCTACTCGCTCACAGAAAAAACATATTTAATAAGCCTTGGTACTTTAAGAGGGTTTCACGAGACCAGTTGCTCTCCTTGCAGCAGTGTAGTAATGCTGAGGCCGCGGACCATGTTTTAGTCCATGCGGACCACTGATGGTCCACAATGGACCACAGGTTGGGAACCACTGATCTACACTGCAGTTTGACACCACTTCTAACTGGCATGGCTCAAGTGCTATAGGATCCCAAGAGTGGTGGTTCTAGGTCTTCCGCCTCCTCTGACAAGGAGTCTAGCTGCCTCACCAAGCTGCAACTCCTAGGATCCCCTAACATTGAGCCATGGCAGTGAAACTGGCATGAACTCTGCAGTGTAGAGATGCAGCCTTTTAAGACTGAGATGTTGCTGGGGCAGAAGCCTTAACAGAGCTGCTTAAACCGGGGAAAGGGCGCGAAGAGCCGGCCTGGGGCTCCGCGAGCCTTGGCTAAGCCTCTCAGAGAAGCCTCTGCCACTGAAACGCCCTAGTGGCGCGTGGCAGCCCCGCCCCCTCGAGGGGGTGTGTCGGCGGGAGGGGAGGGGAGGGGGCGGGGCTTGCAGCAGGCATGCCAGCGAGGAGCCAGGCGCGCGGGGAAGGAAGGAAGCCACTCCCACCCAGCCCGCCCCGTCCAACCCGCCTGGCGCTCCCATAGGCGGGCGGTCCCGCGTGGGGGTTGCCATGGCGACGAGTCGCTAGGCGCCCGGCTCTTTCTCTCTCTCTCTTCGCTCTCTCTCTCTTTCTGTCGTGTGTGGGAGCCGAGTTCAGAGCTCGCAGGGGGGCCCGGAGCGAGAGGCGAGGGAGCCGGCGACAGGAGCAAGAGCAGGGTCCTCGCCCTCGAGGGTGAAGGGTGGGCTGGGAAGCAGAAAGGGCGCCGCTGTGGGCGTTGGGCCGGAGCTGCTGCCTGGCCTGGCCTGGCTTTGGCCTGCCCTCGAGGTCCAGGGGCCCGGGGGCGCCTCCAGGACCCTGCGAGCACCGCTGGTTTGAGGTCAAGGGCCAGGAGGAAGCAGCCCTGGCAGGCAGCGGGGCCATCAGCGCCCTCCACCCCACGGCACGAGTCCTGCCCCCGCCAGGAGGCCAGCCCCGAGGGCACAAGGGGGGGCCAATGCCATGTCTCCTTGGAGCCCGCCCATGGGCCGGGACTGTGGCCCTTGTCCTGCCAGTGGCCTCCCCGGGCTCTGAGGATGGGCAGTGGGGGCTCCTCAGGCCGGGAGGAGCGGCTGCCTTCGTCGGCTGAGGAGCAGCTGAGCTGCGGGGACCAGATGCTGGAGCTCTCCGGGCGCCACCTCAAGAGGGTGCCCATCCCGGTGTGCTCCCTCAGCAACTTGCAGAAGCTGTACATCAGTGGCACCGGCATCACCGAGCTGCCCGAGGAAATTGAGGGGCTGCAGGAGCTGCGCATCCTGGCACTGGATTTCAACAAGCTGGAGGAAGTGCCCGAAGCGCTGTGCCGCCTGCCCCACCTGACCCGCCTCTACCTGGGCAGCAATCGCCTCTTTGGCCTGCCCGCAGAATTCTACCAGCTCAAGACCCTCCGTTGTTTGTGGATCGAGAGCAACTACCTGTACCGCTTCCCCCGGGCCTTGCTCCAGATGCCCGGGCTACAGTCCCTGCAGATGGGCGACAACCGACTCAAAACGCTTCCCAATGGCCTACCACGCATGAGAGGGCTTCGGGGACTCTGGCTATATGGGAACCGCTTTGATGAATTTCCACAGCCTTTGCTTTGCATGACCCAGCTTCACATCATGGACCTTGACCGCAACAAGCTGACAGAGCTTCCCGACTTGAGCCACCTGCGGCGCCTTCGGCTCTTCTCCTATGACCATAACCCCGTGGAAGGCCCCCCAAATGTGGCTGACAGTGTCGTGGTGGTGGGTGAGGGAGCCCAGGAGTTCATGGAGGCCCGGGAGGAAAGACTACAGGCCCTTCGGGAGCAGGAAGAGGAAGAGCAGGAGGAGATTGAGTCTGAAGTTCTGCAAACCAACCTGAAAAATGACTCTTCCATGTTGGATGATGGGGAGGGCAGCTTTTCGGCTCTGGAATGCTCTCCAGAAGAGACATGAAACAGGACATATTGCTAAAAATAAACCGTGTGGATATTGATAGGCTTTTGAATGTACACATACCTTTCAAAGAATTGAGAGCTGGACACTGTCAGTGTACTCAGAAACTATGGTTTTGGAGGTGGGATCTCGAGCAATTCTTGAATATGGCAGTTGCCAGCCCATTGCAGAGAACATAGAATGGCAAATCCCGGCTCATGCCATTGTACTGAATTATGGATAACTTCATTCCTTATGAACAACCTTCCAAATTCCAGGATATGAGGGACAGAGTGGGTGGCATGGATGAGATGTTTGCGCAGTGGATAATTCCATTGTGTGTTGTCTTTGAAACAGTTGTCCTCAACTGAAGACATAGATAACGGTCACGTTATGGCAAAAGCAGAGTATGAAATAGATATTACTTTTGTGGCAAGCAGGTAAAATCCTACTCTGGAGTATTACAGTGAGTCTCAGCAACAAGACAGGATAAAGCCATCATGTTTATTTATTTTCCCCTATCCTCAGATGTTGGCTGGGAAAGAGGGGAGCTGCTGAGATGATAGTGTGAATGTAAAATCTTCTTTCGTCCCATGAATTTTAACCTACTACTGGAATGAGATTTGGAGAAAAGCTCACCCTGACTGCTCCTTCCAGCTGTCAGGTTTGAACTCTTGTTTGTGCAGTGCTTTGCCTGCGCTCTTTGTATGGTGGGAAAAGAGCTGTGCCTGCTGCTTCACTGCTTTCCTGGACTTTCAATTCCCTTAAAAGGGCACAGAATCAAAAGCGATGTGACCTGGGCCATTGCAGACTCGTGTGGATCGTAGATAGAAGAGTTGCAGCCGCTGGACTTTTCCCTGTTTTGCAGGGTGGCAGGTTCATTCTGGTGTGGGACTCTCTGGCTAGATTTATATTAAATCTAAGCAATAAAAGCACAGAAAGTGGAGCGAGAGGGCTGAAGTGGGCACAGCGTAGGGGGACACAAATTCTCAGGGAGATTGCTGGAGAAGCAGGAGACCAAAGCTGCTGGGTGGGCTGGGGCTATTTTTAAAGAGTGTTGTAAGTGAAATTATAACACCTGGTGAAAGCAAACAAGTTTCTCTGGCATTTGTGTTATTTATAAAAATCCTCTTTTTCTGGTTTCTTAACAAAGACCCATTTGTTTTTGCTGCTTTCTCTGTCTCTATTTCTCTTTCCCCCTCAGCCTGCCTCCCTTCTTTTTCTCACGTTGTTCCCTCCTCTTGTCCTCTTTTCACTGCTAACCACCACTGTTTCCTTTCTCCTCTGCTCCATAACACACCTCAGCTGTGTTTGATCTCTCCTTGGACTGATTTTGCTTCATTTGGTCCCGTCGCTACATTGGGAGGACATGTTCCCTGAGCACTGCTAAAATAAACATCTTGGTGTTGGATTTCTTTAAGTGAAATTATGATTACATATGTCATAGCTTTTTATTTTATTAGAAAAAGCACAGGTAGCTAAAATTCTAAATTTTGCATTAGTGGTAATGCCAATGTTGTTGTTGTGTGCCTTCGACTTGTTTCCAACTCATTGAGTCCTTAACTACAGGAAAGGAGATTCCATCTGAACATTAGGAGGAACTTCCTGACTGTGAGAGCTGTTCAGCAGTGGAACTCTCTGCCCCGAGTGTGGTGGAGGCTCCTTCTGTAGAGGCTTTTAAGCAGAGGCTGGATGGCCATCAGTCGGGGGTGCTTTGAATGTGATTTTCCTGCTTCTTGGCAGGGGATTGGACTGGATGACCCACGAGGTCTCTTCCAACACAATGATTCTATGATTAAGGTGAACCTATCACAGTTTTCTTGTAAGATTTGTTCACTGGGGTTTGTCTTTGCCTTCCTCTGGGGCAGAGAGAGTGTGCTTTTCCCTAGGTCACCAAGTGAGTTTGCATGACTGTGTGGAGATTCAAAAGCCTCCAACACTTACACTGCTACACCATACTCCTACCGTATATTAGGTCAACCAAAAAGCACTTTTTATTACAATTTGTTTCTGATATATCTGCAATGCCCTTATTTCATGTTCTTTTTTTCTTTTTCAATACACATGCTTCACTGTACAGCCAGTTTTACTATTTCTGATAAGAGTGGAGAGACTTTGTCTTATTCTGAACATTTTTTCATAGACACTGAAATTCAAAGTATGAGAGTCACTCTTTTCCTTGGATTGTTTACAGATTGCTGATTCATTCAGAATGCTTTCTCACTTTTATCAGTTCAGCCGCATCATCACCATGTGTTTTTGCGAAGTTGTTTGCCACAGATCTGTGGTTGCACAGCTGGATGCTTCATGCACACCTTTTTTTGAAAGCTGCCTGCTGCTCTTCACAATTGAATGCCACAGCATTAGCAGCAATTTATTGTTAGAATCCAAATCTATTTTTAGCTTTGTAGAATTTACTGCAGTAGGAATGCCAGTTCCACGCATAGGCTCCTGTTTGCATTTTGTCATAACTAGCCGTAAAGTTGGTCAGAGATAGGCTGCACTTTAACTTGCCATCCCAACTAGGACAGTTTCTCAAAGTTCTTTCCCACCTCCTCATTGAGAGGCTTAGCAATTAAATATTACTTTTATTGGATCCCCATCTTTGGTTCAAACTTCTGGAGATTAATTTAGGATTGCCAGTGTGGAAACAAGAGGGTGGATATGCAGAAGAGGGAGGTTCAGCATGTGTTCCTTGGTACCTGATACCATGACCTGATGAAGTTTTCTTTCATACAACCATTGAAGCTTATATTACCTCCAGTTTTCATTCTAGTAATGTTGTGACTATTAGTGCTGTTTTTCTGCATTGGCCTCACCACCATTGATGGAAAACCGCACAAGATCCTATAAAAGGTAAAAGTAAAGGTTTCCCCTTGACATTAATTCTAGTCATGTCCGACTCTGGTAGTTGGTGCTCATCTCCATTTCTAAGAGTTGACGTTGTCGGTAGATGCGTCCAAGGTCATGTGGCTGGCATGATTGTATGGAATGCCGTTACCTTCCTGCCAGAGCGGTGATTTCACATTTGCATGCTTTCGAACTGCTAGGTTGGCAGAAGCTGGGGATAACAGTTGGAGCTCAGCCTGCTCTCAGGATTCAAACCACTTACCTTTCAGTCAGCAAGTTCAGCAGCTCAGCAGTCTAACCCTCTGCGCCACTGGATGATCCACAGGATTTTATACAAGGGGCTCCACAAGATCCTATACAGTAGGCTTTTCCAGTGGTTGGTAGATACAGATTATTTTTTGGGAATGGGAGTTCTTGTTAGCTTGAGTTTAATAGTCAGCTCTTGTAGCTGATAAGTTTCTTTTCTAGAATGTTATAGAATCCTTATATCTTGGTAGGCCTCATATTTGTTCCTTGACAATTTCCCCATGTTTACCAAGCACTGAAAGCTTTAAACTATAATAAATAGTGGAGTCCCCGGTGGTGCAGTGGATTAAACCACTGAGCTGCTGAACTTGCTTACCAAAAGGTCGCAGGTTCTAATTCGGGGAACGGCATGTGCTCCTGCTGTTAGCCCCAGTTTCTGCCAACCTAGCAGTTAGAAAACATGCAAATGTGAGTAGATCAATAGGTACTGCACCGGCGGGTAGGTAATGGCACTTCATGCAGTCATGCCAGCCATATGACCTTGGAGGTGTCTACAGACAATGCCAGCTCTTCGGCTTAGAAATGGAGATGCACACCAACCCCTAGAGTTAGATATGACTGGACTTAATGCCAGGGGAAAACCTTTATCTATAATAAACAACATGATCCTTAACATGCAGAGTCATATGTGTGCTGATTGCAAATTGGAATTGCAAGAAGGAATTCCGATTTACAGCAGTGCACATATTTTTGACTTTCAGGTTGCTTCCTCATTAGAGCTTTTTAATAGTGCTGGGACATTGTTTTTCTGCAGTCTGCTGAATGTAAACACTACCTTGTGGTACAGGTTGAGCATCCCTTATTTGGAATAGTTCAAAACTCAAAATTGTCAATTTGTATGGCTAATATAATGCCACCTTTGCTTTCTGCTTTCATGAACAAAATTATTAAAAATATGGTGTAAAATTGCCTTCAGGTGACGTCTGTAAGGTGCATATGCGACAAATGAAGTTTGTGCTTCAGCATGGGCCCTATCTCCAGGATATCTCTATGTGGGTATTTATAAATACAGATATTTCAAAATTTAAAAAAATCCCAAATACTTTTGCTTTTTGGATAAGGGATACTCAACCTACTGTGCCATCCATCAAGACCCATCTTTCTGGTAGAAATCGTTTTATAGTGTTTACAAAGAGCTTAAAGTAAATCCTGTTCAGTAAATGTATCCTGTACCTTTAATTAGTGGCTACCTTTTTGAGGATTCAAATTCTATTTGCTCTGTTCATTATGGCCATGGCATTACTGATTAATTGCGCCTTAATCGGTCTCTTTCCTCACTGATACCTGTCGGTCGCTTTAACTGCTGATCTCACTAATTATTTGACTCTTCAAAAATATTTTGAACAGCATTACTATTCAGTTTTATGAAGAAAAGGAAAATTAATGTGGGAAAGCAGAATTTAAAGGGCTTCCTGGTGGGGAACAGGATCTCATTTATTAAAGGGCAGTTCATTATTTATTTGGGCTCTGGCCACACAGAACAGAAAACAACTAGAAGCAAAAGCTACAAGGAAAATCCTCATTAAAGCCACATTAGTGCTGAAATACCTTAATAATACTTTGCTTGTTCACAGAGGAAGCTTAATGTCGATCTTTGAAAAATTAATTATGCTTTTTTAATTAAGAAAATTGTTAAATCAGATTTCAAAAAAAAAGACAGGCGGACAACACAGAGGACATTGTAATATTATGAATGGGCAGTATCATCTAGATTCTTTTTTTTTTTAAGTCAGTGGATGAAAGATCATTCCTTGCTTAATGCTTAGTGTGGAAGCAACTGTAGTCTTTCCCATGACACATTACAATGTTAAAACAATAAGTCCATTGTTATTATTACCTGCCAATAAATTGACTCCAACCTATAGCAACCCTCTGAAAGAGAGACCTCCAAGTCATCCAGGTTTGGAGAACTCAGGGCTGTGACTTCCTTACTGAGTCTCATGTGCAATGTAGTCTTCCTGTTTTGCCTTTCACCTTATCGAGCATTAATGTCCTTTCTGATGAGTTGTATTTTCTTATGATATGGCCAGAGTATGACAGTCTCAGCTTTATCATTTTGGCTTCTAGGGAGAAATAAGGCCTGATTTGTTCTAGGACTCGACAGTCCAGCGTATCTGCAGAATTCTCCTCCAGCACCTTGTCCCAAATGAGATGATGCTCTTCCTATCAGCTTTGTTCACTGTGAGTTTTCACAACCAACATAGAAATTGGAAATACAGTAGCATGGTCTTCTAGAATGACTCTACAGTAATTTCTGGAAGAAGTCATTAATTTCAGTAGGGTTTGCTATTATCTACAGTTTCCTGTTTCCTGTTTCCGTGGTTACTTCAGGAATGGTAGTTCATGAACACGTATGGGGTGTGTGTATGTCATACTGTACTTCAGTGTATCCAGACAGATTGATGCAGTTGTCCAAAGAAAGAACATTCTGGATCTGTGCTGCGAAATGCAGGTTACTTCTGCTTAACACTTTGTGGCTGCTGAAGATGTTTTTCTTCAGTGGAAATCTCTAGTAGAACTCATAGGCTCTGGGTTTCCTTCATTGTCACTGGCTTCAGCTAACATTCAGGAGGTACAGAATGGGCCACAGCACATCATTTAATTTTCTTTTAATCGTTGAAGGAATGATACAATTACACTTCTTGAACATTCCTTTTAGAAAACAAAAATTAACATCTTTTTATCTGCAATATCTTGCATTTTGGGGGGATGGTGGCAATGGCAGTCAGAATATTTGCTTCCCCCCCCCCCTTCAACTGCCAGTTTCTAAAAACTAGACACCCTGGGATGGTCGAACAAATATTGGGGGGGTTGCAGTTGAATTCAGCAGAACTGTTTCTGTGTTTAGTCTGCAGCATAGCCATACCTAGGATCTTGCATGTTGTCTTCACAGGACACTACTATGACAACAGCACCTCTTTCCTATCACTCCTCATTAATCTTTGTAATCCACTGTATTAGATGTTAAAATGACTAAGTCACTCATATACTAGGCCTGTAAGAATCCTTGTTAAGACTCTGAGAGCCTTGTTCCAGTGTGACTCATTTTGGCTGTCATCATGTTAACCCCCCACCTGAGCAATACTATCTTCCCCTCCTTATCTCGGTCTCTCCCTTTTAGCATCTCACATTTTCTGCTTCCTTTCAGGGAATCCACCTGCTAATTAATACTCCTTACCAGGATCTATACATGTGACTGGCTTTGTGCTCCTTTCCACGACAAATAATTGTTTTGATGGCATTCTGTGTTGAAAGCCAGAGAAGACATTT